GTGCAGCCAAGTCCTTCATTCCGAATTGTATACTGGACATCGTTAGGATATACACAATCTGGAATCACACAAAAAAAAATATTTACCTAATCTCCAGTAGCAGTTTCAACCAACTCTCTTTTCTCAATTGGCGTCCCACAATTTTTTTATATTTACTTATTTGTTTATGGTTTATTAATTATGCTGTCAGTCGCTGAGACAGTACAGCACTGAATGATAAGATGATCAACGAATAATAAATTGGAAAGGATACGGAAGGAAGTACTCGTGGTCTAATTTGAGGTTCTGCCCCCAGTATTTTCGTGGAGGTACTGAGGAAACTGTGAAAAATGCTAGATCAGATAGCTAGTCTTTGGGCTGAGGTTTGAGCCCAGGACCTCAATAAAAATTGACCATAAAGTTTATTATAAAATTTTGAATTCAAATGAGTCTCTAGACAATTTACAAAGTGTAAAAACATCATGTGATGTTATACTGAAATTTATGAAAATGAATTGTTCTTTTAAATTCATTATTTCAGAATTTGCAGTTGTTCAGACTTAATACTCTGACACTTTTCTGTGTATTACATACCCTTAAAATGGTGTTAAACTGTAAAATGTTTGTACTTATGTACCTTCATATTTTAGCTTCAGTAACTGCATTTTGTTATTGGCTTCATATGATACTCAGAATAAATTGTGATTATTTCCCTAAATCATAGTAACCAGTTTATTTTTGCAATGGTTTCTCTGTGGTAGGAACTGAATTTTTAAATATCTGGTTAGTCGATTTGGAAATTTCTATGACTACGTGTTGAAGCACAGATTAATATATAACTTGAAACTTTCATGGTGACTGAATTTGATAAAATACTCTCGGGCAGCAAGCCACGTCAGGAACGATCATTCCCTTGTTGATGAAGGCAGAGAAGATTATAAAAATGTTTGGCTTCTGTTCCAGAACTGACATGACTCGTTGTCCGAGAGGATTTTGTCATGGAATAGAAGTTACTATTTTAAGGACTATGGAAGGATTTTTTATTATCAACTGAATTCAGTTTTACGTACCATAATTACAACTGGGCTGCAGGACTGTGTCAGTAGATTTTACTGAAATGAAGAGTGGGGGGCACTGCGAGATGAACTCAAACCCATCGCACGGATTGACTAGCTGTATTTCAACGTTTTCACCTCTTATTTTTTTACATGTTACGTCAGTTGTAGCATTATCAGGGTACTCTAATTTTCTCGAATGGCACACGTCAATTTCATCAGAATTGGAATTTATGACCTGAAACAGACATATTATAAAAATTAACTCTGCATGCTCTGATTTAAATGGCACAAAGTATGAACTGGCAATCATATTTAAATAATCAGTACTCAAGAAAGGTCAAGATTGAATCATGGAATAACTGTTTGTCTTTGCATTTTGTGTATCAGTATTTGGATATAGGGAGTTAACTTAAAAGAGTGATGACTCTAAGCTCTGCATCTGGGTTTCACATGCTCAAGTGTTATGGCACGACAGACTGTCACACTAGAAAACTCTTTTGGTTCTATCAGATGCATAATTTACAGCAGATTATTTCAACATTCTTCTCGTTGGTTATATTTCAAACTAGAGCTATGGTGAAGATTTCCGTCTTCTGGGTTGTTGTGCTGTGTAGTCTGGTCGATGTTTACCAACGTTTCAGAGGTCATACTGCCTCCATCATCAGGGCGATGAGTATGAAGATTTCTGTCTTCTGGGTTGTTG